TATACTATATATATATATATATATATATATATATATATACATACATTAAATTTTTATCTTCATTTTCCTTCACAAAAGGAGTTGGACTCGGGAAAGTTACTCAGACTCACCTCAGTAAATCGCCTTGACCAGGGCCCGAGTACCTTGGCCGAGTCGATTATTTGAACCTTGAAAAGCTCATTTTGTAAAGAGAGGAAGGTAATGTTATAAGATGGTTTTGGGTGAGGTTTGAGGTTGAGGAAGGGGACAACTTCATAAACCTAGCCACCATTCTCCCATAGTCTTGGGTGGTTTCTTCAGTAATTTCAACCACTAGTGGAGCCATGGCAATAATATCAACAATGGAGGTCTGTACGATGGTGGTCTTATGGAGACAACATCATCAGTGGAGGTTTATTAGATGGTGGTTTTATGGCAAGGTGTCAGCAATCAGATTTTCTTGAATAAAAATGTGTATTCTCTGAGAATAAGAGAGGGTGAGAAAGTGTCGAAACCTTTGAACGCGTTTAACATCATTTTTCAACTCAAGTTTATCAAGGAGTAGATGAAATATGAGGAAAAGGCAATAACGTTGCTTTGTTCATTATTTGAGACTTGTGATAATTTTGTTTCTACATTGTGTTGCAACAAGCAAGAAGCCACCATTTGGGTTTGCTTTGTACTGCCCTCTTTACGCTAAACTTTGAAAGAAGGTATTGATAGATGGCCCGCTGAACCCAAGGATGGATATTTTTATGGCATGAGCGTGATCAGATGAAGGCAATAAGTTCATCAAAAAATTCCTGAAAGTCGTAAGTCTCATTTCAGATGAAAGTTCCGGGTGGCCTTATGATAAAGTCGTCAAAGTTAGATTCTTGATATTGGAGTCACGCATCATACGTGCCTCTATAGATCAGGTTTAATGCATATGAGCCATGTGAGGGAGGTCGGCATCAAAGGAAAACAACTCGATCAGCGAAAATCGATGGAATGAGCTTAGTTTGTACAATGATATATGATAGGATGGTCCAAACACTTAAAAATGTGAGGCATGCACATGATTTAAAGGAGTTAATATTGCTTCTCACGATTTGGAAGTTTAAAAATTTATCTGGCAAGGTGGAGTAGATTGTTTAAAGAGGGCTTTAGTTATAATGTAGAGAGTCATGGAAAGAAGCTCGCATAAATTTATTGGGAACATGGTTTGGCAATGGAAGATATTGGGAATACAAAAAAATTTCTTAGCAAGAATATATAGCACGACGGAGCAAATGATGCTTTGGAGATTCCAATCGAGGATGTGATGCCAGTTATAATGCCACTCATTCTGAACTTTCTTCAAACCAATGTTGAAAGTTTAGTAAAGAAAGAGGGGTATAACTAGAGGTTTGTATACCACTCTAATTGGGATTTTGAGAACTACCATGGTAAGAGATTGGTCATAACACTTGTTCATGGTTTCTCAGTTGGCATGTGGTCAGTTTAGAATTAAAAATTTTGAATAGAGCAATATGGCTACTTTGATAATTAAAATGTGTGTAAATATTGCCATAATTTTTAGCATGTGAAAGTCTTCATAAAGATGGCTTATGCAATAGATCTCAGTAACAAGAGATCAAGCACCAATTCCTCTTGTAGTTGTGAAACAACAACTGCATTTAGAGCATGAAAGGAGGCCACATGGCCTCAAAAATTTAAGGTCGAGGAGTTGAATAATGTGGAATTAGCATGGGGAAAACAGTCATGAAGGAAGCTGGGCAACACATGTTCAGAGATATTATTTGGCTAAAAATCGCGTGGTATTGGCTAAGTTCTCTAGCTCTTGGAACAACATAATGAGTGGATATTGTTGGCAAGATAAGGATGTGACTTTTATATCAAGGTGGAGATTGTTGGGTTGGCAATACCCAAATAACCCCTGTGGTTTTGGAGGCATTTTTCATCCACTATAGAATATTTGAAATGATGGTTTCAAATATTATTTTGTAAAGATAAAATGGGATCATGTGAGGTAGAGTTTTTCGTGAGGTTGGGATTGGACTTTGGGTAAAAACCTATAGCTACAATTGTGCCCTAGTCTTGGTTGGTTTCAATAGCATTCTATTTGTTGGGGGAGCCATGTCTACAATGTCATAAGTTGGAGTTTGTTTGATTATGATTTTAAGATAGTGGAAAGAGAATTCCGTGTGCTTTGCTGATTGGAAATTGAAAGAGAGAGTGGTCTAATAGTACCTGGTCATTTACACGAGTAGCCGCTGCATGGCCATCTCCTGTTAGCAGGACGATTTTGATTCCCAATTTCTTTAACTCCCTAATGACCCCAAGCGCACTGTGTCGGACTTCATCATAGAGGCTAAACATCCCAACTACCTTTCTTCCCAAAAAGACATACGCCAGTGTAGCACCCTGCTCTTGTTCGTTTATATTTGGAACTGAAAAAATGGAAAACCAAATCAATGATACATCACGTATCCATCAGAATAAGATGGTTGTATCAAGAAAACTTGAGAACATAAAGTTTTTTTTTGTTTCGTTTTTTCTTTTCTTTTTTTCTTTTTTGAGGGAATGTATCAAGAAAACTTGAGAACAGAAATCTGCAATCACAGCATGCATGGGCATTGTGGTTATTGTGGAAGTTGAAAACTTCCAAATTTCCAATAATATACTCTAACAATAATTTTCTTCTTTTTTTTTTGAATGGTGCTATGTTGTAAAGGGCATTAGAATCAATTTTCTCAATGGAGGCATCTTTTGACAAGAATAGGAGTGCTGCAGTGAAGGAGGAAGAGCAAGAGGTGAGGGGGCACAAGTTTAGGAATATTGTGAAATGTTCATATGAGCAAGTTGTAAACGTGCTCTCCCTAGAAAAAACCTACCTAGGAGTATTTGGGAATGGTGTAACCTACCCAACCCTAGCAACCAACATAGAAAAAGAAGTTAAAATCAAGCTTTAAAATTGCCTATATAAGATCTAGTCCCAGTGTGGATACAAGCCGTCACATTTTCGAAATGTGTTTTGGAAACTCAGTATCATTTTTATATTTGGAATTACCAATCCAGTCATTTTAAGATTTTTCTTAAAATTTTAGATTAAAGAGATCCCTGAAAGTGGGTGTTTTCCCCAAAGGAGTGCACAATTTACTCCTATTATAGCCAATCAAGTTTTAATACCCACCCACTGTTTTCTGGATTTTAGTCACCCATCACATTTGGTGGATAATGAACGTGAGTGGCTAAATCTGACCCCCAGAAAGTAACAAAAATATCATCAATCTTCAATAAACATGCTTAACTAAGAAAAAATATCTAGTGAAAAAAAAAGGCATGTTTTATTGAACATGTTTAGCAAAAAAAAGTTTCATAGAACATATTTTCGTGAAGTCATCATCAACCATAAAAGAGATCATGCAGGATAAAAAAGTAAAGATCTGAAAAGGAAAATGAATTAAACAGAGAAAAACGAGAGGCCAAGAGACCATACCAGAGTTGCACCCAGCCCTTAATGCCATCTTCTTGTTTCCGATGTAGATAGCAGCCCCATCAACAATGCCATAAACGCCCTCACCTGGGAAGTTTTGGAAGTCCTCTACCTTTTCCGGAGCTGGTTCGACTTGCCTCGATCTACCATAATCGACAAAGGCAGCGGCCATCGGATGGTTGGACTTGCTCTCCACACTGCTAACCCTGAATATATACATATATATGCACACACACACATGCAGACATACACACTTCTTATTCACTTAGATTTAGATATTCAAAAGACCAGCATAAAGGTTTGGAGCAACTGGGACCTCAACAAATATAATCTCATATTGTTTGATATATAAGTGCTTCAAACATGAAAAGAAATGATTAGTTGTTCAAATACTAGGCCAGATATAATTGAATGATGTAGTGAACTTTATGATAGATAAGATAGTCGTGTCATCCTTTTTATTAATATATTCCAGAATCAATTAAGTTATAAAAGATAAAAGAAGAGTTTTTTTTTTTTTCAAAGAATTGGATACCGTGGGTTTATGTTGCCCATTGATCTCAAATTTTGAGAAAGTGATATATCAACCATCATTCCCATGTAAAACAGCCATTATAAACCCCCAAAATCACTGATATATGAGCATATCAAGAGATTTTGACTTCACAAACCATTCCAGATGGGAGCAGCCAGATCCATTAATACTCGTATCAAAATTCACAGCTTCTTTTAAAGCATAGTATAAAATAAAATTGCCAAAGTTACTCCCACCATGGTACGAATAAGGGCATAGTTTAGCAAGCCCACTCTTAAAGGTGATTTAAGTTTCCTACTCCCAAATATTTGACCATAAATTACTCTTTATAAATGTAAAAAATCACATTGTCAAATAAATTTTTGGAAAATTTTGAAAAAAAAAAGAAGCCATATTTGTAAACATTAAATTACTTTAAATTCAAAATGTGATTCAAAAGTATTTTCTTCTTGTTTTAAATTGAACATTGGTTTGCACAATAATTGTTAATATTAGAAAACTAACCTTTATAAAATGCATGAAAAAGTTAAAAATAAAAAACCTTTTATGAACATGTAAGACATTTATGGCTAAAAATTGGATAAAAACTAAACAAAATAAATATATATATGGGAAACGATCTTGTCAGCCCAAGGGCTGACTGCTACAGTGTCACCCAACGGCCTAGAATGAATCTGGGCGTGATCCAATGGTCACGACCTCATTTCGTAATTGAATTTTCATGTTTTTTTTACAAATTCAAATCACTTGAAATTTTGAGCGTTTATTCTTCAAAAGTAGGCGAATCTAATAAAAATATAAAAAAATAATTTGTAAAATATAAATTGCCCAAAATACCGTCAAAACTTTTTTGGGGTATTTTGGTCAATTTATATTTTACGAATTATTATTTTTAAATAACTTGAAATTTTAAGCATGTATTCTTCAAAAATAGGAGAATCTAATAAAAATATCAAAAAAATAATTTGCAATAAATAAATTCACCAAAATACACCTGAAAAGTTTCGAGGATATTTTGGTCAATTTATTTTTGTGAATTATTTTTTAAATATTTTTATTAGGTGCGCTTTGGTGGGAAGAATGGACGCCTAAAATTTCAAGTTATTTGGATTTATAGAAAAAAAAATTCAAATTCAAATACGAAATGAGGTCGTGACCGTCAGATTGTCTTAGATTCAATCTAGGCCGTTAGGCTCATATGTTCATATGAGCTAGTCGGCTAATCTCAGCATTTTCCTATATATATATATATAGAGTAATGATCCTCTAGGGCCCTCCCCCACCCATATGTGTAGGACCCCAAAGGATCACCATTAAAGTTGGCACGGACCTCCAGAAAAGTTATCACATGGGTGTAGGATTTGACTTTTGTATAGATCCGTGCCAGATTTAATGATGATCATTTGGGGTCCTACACACATGGGTGGAAGAGGGTCCTATGGGATCATTTCTCATATATATATATATATGGGAAAAGATTGAATGCACGAGGTCGCGTATGTGGGTTGTATACGCCAACGGTTGGAATCGCTCATCTCAAATCGACGGTCCACTTCAATAAAACATTTCTCTGAGCCTCTCTCTCTCTATGCCCCCTCTGCAACTTTGTCCCCTTCAAAAAATTATTTCCCAGAGCCTCTCTCTCTAAGCCCCCTCTCTCTACAACTTTCCCTATGCCCCTCTCTCTCCCATGTCGTCCCTCTCTGCATAAGCAAGCATCAATCATAAGCATGCATCAGTAAATCACGGGTCTATCTCTCCTAGATGTCCCTCTCTCTATGCGCCCTCTGCCTCTCTCAAAATTCTGAAGCACGCCCTCTCTCTCTTGTCGGTAGCAGGCATCTCTCTGTGAAATCTAAATCACGCGTTTTCAGGTATGGATAGCCATTTTTCATTTTACTGATACTTCACCATCTTACCATGACCATTTTACTAATGTTTCTTATGAATGCCATTAACAAGGTTACTGATGCTTTTTATGGATGTCATTTTACATTTTACTGATGCTTCTTGTGGATGCCATTTACCATGGTTTCTTATGGATGAATGATGTCATTTTACTGATGCTTTCTTATGGACGAGTGATGTCATTTTACTTAAACTTGCTTATGGATGAATGATGCTTGCTTATGATCTGTACAAATTAATCGATCACAGATTTCTTGGCCATATTTGGGGTTTTCACTTTTTCAATGGTAGAATGTCTTACACAGAGCATAGAAATTTCTTTAGAAATTTGTATCTCTCAGATTTTGTGGCCACATTTGGGGGTTTCTATTTTTCAGTGCTTGAATGTCTTACACAGAGAATAGAAATGCCTTTAGAAATTTGTATCTCACAGATTTTGTGGCCACATTGAGGGGTTTAGCTTTTTCAATGCTTGAATGTATCACATAGAGATACTAAACTATTGTAGATGACATTTTAGCATGGTCATTTTACTTTTTATTGATGCTTCTTATGGATGCCAATTTACCATGGTTGCTTATGGATGAGTGATGCCATTCTACTGATGCTTTCTTATGGACGAGTGATGCCATTTTACTGATGCTTGCTTATGGATAATTAATGCTTGCTTATGATTTGTACAAATTAATCGATCACAAATTTTATGGCAATAGTTGGGGGTTTCAGTTTTTAATTGGTTGAATGTCTTACACAGAGCAACTAAACTATTATGGATGCCATTTTACCATGGCTATTTTACTTTTTACTGATGCTTCTTTTGGATGCCAATTTACCATGGTTGCTTATAGATGAGTGATGTCATTTTAATGATGCTTTATTATGGAGGAGTGATGTCATTTTACTAATGTTTGCTTATGGATGAATGATACTTGCTTATGATCTGTACAAATTAAACGATCACAAATTTCTTGGCCACATTTGTGGGTTTCGGTTTTCAATGGTTGAATATCTTACACAAAGCATAGAAATTTCTTTAGAAATTTGTATCTCACAGATTTTGTGGTCACATTTGGGGCTTTCGGTTTTTCAGTGCTTAATTGTTTTTCAGTGCTTGATTGTCTTATGGCCCCAAATGTGGCCACAAATTCTGTGATCGATTAATTTGTACAGACCATAAGCAAGCATCAATCATCCATAAGCAAGCATCAGTAAAATGGCATCACTCGTCCATAAGAAAGCATCAGTAAAATGGCATCACTCATCCATAAGCAACCATGGTAAATTGGCATCCATAAGAAGCATCAATAAAAAGTAAAATGACCATGCTAAAATGTCATCTACAATAGTTTAGT